GGCTGAACAGGCCCTGTTCAGGCATGTGGGGATGAGCAGAGGCAGCATGGGGCCCAATCCTGGCGCGTGGGACTAGATTTGGTCCATGGGGCCAAAAACTTGAGCACCACTGGTGTAGATGACTTCACATGTTCTCATATGAGCATCTCATATATTCATTCAAAACATGAAGGTAGTATTGTTTGCTTGATTGGTTTAAAAGCAAGCTGGAAAAGTCAGTGACCTGTTGGCCATCACTAAGCAGTGCCACTGCGGCGTTCCACCTGTCCCGAGTCCTGTGCTGCTCCTGTGCATAGCTCTGTGCTTTTCCACATGCTGTGTGTCTGCACAGCTACATGGGGGCCTGTTGCTAGGCAATCAGAATCCAGAGCAGTGCTCCTTCCAGCGTCAAATGATGCGCATGTGGCTCAAGCCTTTATATAGCAGCACGCTCAGCAGTGGGAGCCAGTACGCCTGCAGGTCATCAGATTCCCAAGTGTCTGATGCATGCAAAAAAGTGTACAAATGCATTTAAAAGAAACATACAACGCTCATGTCTGCAGCCTTGCGTTTGTTTTATACTGTAGAACAGGTGGTATGATCCTGCCAGCTGAAATAAAGAAACCTCTGATCAGGATGATTTGGTGCGAAAGAAGGTGTATTGGAGTGATTTAGTGCAGCTTTTTAGGCTCTTCTGCCATTTAGACTTGTGAGCATTTGGATTCAGTATTTGTGGCTGCTTTAACATATTGTAGGATCTCTTTGACACATCTAAGCTACTGGAGTCTGGAGAGCAGTCACTGAATCAGGCTGAATCAGGAACCCCTGGGTTTGAATGGTTGCTGTGTGGCAAGAGGCAAGCTGCTTCATCTCTCTGTTACCAAGTCTGTCAGACAGAGATAACACTTGCCTACGGGAGTGAGTTAATGTCTGTACTAGAACATGTAATTGCCTTGTTGCCTTAATCGGAGATATCTTACATATGGAGGGGAGGGCTTTTTTAAAGTCTCATCATAACATTATATGCAAGCTTGCTTTACACGCAGCACTAGCCTGAATGCTGAGCCTGCCTTTCTTAGTTATTTGGTGCCTTTGAAGCTCTTAAACATAAAGGTGCACATGCTTAATATTAAGCATGAATCATTGTATGTGCTCAAAGTTAAGTGTGCGTGTGCATGCATTTGTGGAACTGGGTCCAGAAAGATTAACCCTTGCTCAGTGGAAACAGCTGCCAGCTCCAGAAGTACAAGTCTCCGGAGATGGTTGGTTTTCAAACCCTCCTAAATCTAATCTACAATACCTAGTTTGGCAGCCCTTCAAGGCCCTTCGCTCCAAGTGAAATGGGTTAGGCAGGGGGTATTATTAAGACATGCTTCCTTGAAACACTCTCAGTAGCAAGTTTTGATTTTGATGTGGTCCACTTAATCAGAGACTACACTTGTCTAAAACTCTCACTATGAGTAGAAGCCAAGACTGCTCTTGAAAGCCTCTGACATCTTGTGAGCACAGCAGTGATTTGGGGGCGTGTGAGAGGTAGGCAATGTTCTTGATGTGTTTTCCTGCCCTAGCCTGTTGGTAAAGTAATTATATCCCTAATTATTTGCACACATAAGAGGTATCCTCTACAGTTACAAAATACCTATGTCGAGGACATTAGGAAATAGGAATGTGGAGGGTGCTTTGTCATTAAGGGAGCTCTGTTGTGGCTTTCACATTCTGTCCTATTTCCATTTCTGTCCCATTTCTGCTAGGAGGGGATCAGTAACTCCTGCCTTTGTGTCCAGTGCAACAAACAGTTTTGTTTCCTCTCCCTTCTACCCTACCTTTGTTTCTGGCTGGCTGGGCATGTAGCCAAGTGGATTGCCAGGAGCCTCACTTGCTTGTTTGCAGAGGTGGCAGTCAGAGAGATAGTCCACTAACATGCGTTTACTATGGAGTCAGGTGGAGACAATAAAACTGGAGCCTGCAATTCCATTTGCAGGAGTTGCTTTTCAAGAATTAGGCTGTACCCTTCTCTTCCTTGAACTCAGCCAAGTGCCCTCACAGCACTGTTAAATGTGGAGGGGAAGGTACTGTGCTGTGCCTGATCAGAAGCCGAGCCCAGAGGGATGGGACCTGTAATAGTTTTAAGTTTCCTTTGCCTCTTCCAAATCCTGGGCTGGGTGTGGGCAAGGAACCTGATGGACATTTCTAAGCAGCAACACTCTGGGCTCTGGTGTTGCCTATTCTGGCATCTCTTCCTCCTAGTCAGGCTATGGCACACGCTGCAGTAAGACTTGCAGAGAACAGCCTCTGCCTCCACACTTATAATATAGGATGTCCTACCCAGGCTAGAACTGAGGCTTTCAGATCCCTTTTATGTTCCTCTGGCCTTTTTAGCTGGTACAGAAGAGCTGTACAGGGTGGACGCACTCATGCTGACTGTTAGTTAGAGAAATGGCATCTGTCCATTATTGCCCTGGATTCAAATTATTAGCTATTAGCAAGGGGCTAGTGGGAAAACAGAAAGGAGGCCAAGCACTAAAAGCCCATAAACAATCCCTCCCTTAATTCCCATAAAATGGGCCCCTCCCTGGATTGTCCTCTTCACAAGCAGCAATGAAAACTGCTGGGGCTTGTGCATAAGGTTTTTGTTTTTCTGTGAATTCCTTTGTGTGGCAAACTGACCCCTGCCACAGACTATAGGTCTGTAACTTTAAAAAAAAAAGGAAAAAAACACCGCCCCATTCTGCTGAACCCAGCAGCGTTCGAGGTTCCCAGGACAGGAAGTGAATGAGCCTGGTCAGTGTTCTTTGTGCCAACTGGCCTTTTGTCTGAAGGGTGGAGGGAGATCCTATCCAACTCTAGGAGCCTCGTGTACACTGGAAAATTACACCACCTCAGAGCATGCATGAAAGTCCATTTTAACCATACCCAGCTGAAATGCTGTGAAACACAGCAGTCCTTGGCTAGCCAAGCGCTGCTTCATGTTTAATGTCACATCAGTTAACACATGTTCTAACAATGTAATTTTCCAGGATAGAGCACGTGGGAGCATAGGAAAGTATCATGAGCTGCCACCCTGCTCTATTAACAATTTGAGGAACTCTGAAGTCTTTCAGTCTACACTATACTGACAAGGCCCCTGCCCCAGGACCTCCCTCTCCCCTTGTGTGGAGATGCAGCCTGTAGCAGTAAGAGTTCTTCTGGTGGTATAAAGGAAGCCTGCAAGCTGATAAGGATGTTTTGGTGGTATAATCATATCCACATTATGGATGTTACTGTGTCTGTTGGGGGTGTGATTTTTTCCCCCTGCTCCTAACCAGTACATGATATCTAGCAAATCTTTTGTATATCTATGAACGCTTGGACTTGGGGGGAAGCAGGGAAGTACCTCAAGTACCTTGAGAATGGACACTTCAGCAAGCAGCGCAGTGTGCCCGTGACCCTCACACTGGGAGATGGGGCAGCAACCAACAGAGCTGGATGCTGCAGCTAGAGAAGAGGGACCAGAGAGCAAACAATTCAGTGGGCTTTACCATCATGTTTCCTATGGTGTTTAGGTCTCAGTGCAAAGCCTCACTTCCTATTGGGTAAACATTGTGGAACAGTGTGCAAGGCACCTACCTGTTTTATCCTCCCCAGAGAGATGAATTCATCTACCAACAAAGAACTGGCGTAGGCAGGTACAAATTCATCCTTTCTACCTCTGCCAATGCCTTGCTCCATGACACTAAATAAATCACCACTCCCAGCTCCAGTCTATCAGCATATAATTTGGGTGTTCCAGGGCTCAGGGAATAAAGTGCGTTAGGATTTGTAGAAGAAAGATGCTCCACCCATAGGAGTAGTTCCTCTAGATGATAGGCCATTACTGAAGCAAACTGGAAAATTATTTCCACCACCTTCCATAGAACTAGAATGCTGATGACATCTTTTTTCAGCAAATGGCTTTCCTCAGTACTCTACATGGCTATGTCACTTGAGTGATAAACTGAAAATAATCCTCAAAACAATTTTTTTTCTATTTTTTTCCCCTAAAATTTTGAAGCAACTTTCTACAATCAGTTTTCCTTTTGCTGAGCTAAGCAAAATGAGCACAGTTTTCTTTTAGAGAACAGGGGCTGGAAAATAAAAGCTATAAGCCATGGAAAGTCTGTAATCAGATACCATGGCTTAACACTAAAACAGTAAGGTAGAGACAAGCATCGTTATTGGATTTCTTTAGAAGCAATTAGAATCATTTTACTAGTTCTCTCTGCCAGATTAAGCCCTACACCCACACATGGTCTTATAGTTTACATACATCTCAAAATCCAGGAATAGAAGGGCTGATTTGTGTTTCTTCCTCTCACCATAAATGTATTTTTATATTGTGTCAAGTGAGAAAAGGAAAAAAAACCCAAAACACCCAGCTGTTTGTTTGAGTAACTGTGCTTGAAAGCATAATGACCCATTCAGATGTCCCTGTTCGAAACCAGGTATGTTTCTGTACTAAATATTTGCAGCTTTGTTCTCAAACATCCTTTGCAGAATGGAAGTTGTGTCCCATATCTTCCTATTATTGAGGAAATGTTGAAATTCTTGAATACGTCACAATTTCTCTTTGTGGGTGTATGAAAAACCAGGCTAACTTAAAAACTTCACATGGGACCTGCAAAGGAAGGATGACTATGATTCACTGTGACTTTGAAAAACAGCACGACAATCTTTGAGTTATAATTTCCATCATGATTTTACTCTTTCCTTTTCATTTTTAGGGAGCGAAGCTGATTTTAGCTCTTCAAGCAGCACAGGCAGTATTTCAGCTCCTGAGGTCCATATGTCTGCTGCTGGGAGCAAAAGATCCTCATTCACTCGCAAGTAAGCAAGGCAGTTTATCCTATACATTGAGTGTTGCTTAGGATAGAGAGAGGCTTTACTTTTCTTTTCTTTCTTTGTTTTTTTAAAAAAACTTACCCTTTCTTCCCTGTATCTTTAAGAACAATTTGCAACAGAGGCAAGATTTTGGCAGCAATGACACTGACTTAACTTGTGATTGAGAGAACAAAAGAGAACAAAAATACTGTATTTAGAGAATATAGTAGGATCATCTGACTGACAGAAACATTTATTCATACAATCCCTTTTTGATCATGACAAATGGATAAAAATGCTTAGACAGGAAAGATGGGGAAACAGCTGGATATTTGCTTAGTTAACTGCAGCCATTCTAGCCAATTAATCTTAACTTTCTGGTCGTATCACTTGTTTTCCTGCTGTGACGAATTGTCAGCTCCACACGTACCTTGCATAATCACGACATTATTTGTTGAAACATAAAAGTTGATACTTGTGTCTTCAGGACTCATTTCTAACCATCTAGTTCCATCTCTTTGCATAAATATTTATAAAACTGGAGATTACATTAAAGGTGTATAATGAAACCTGCCTTTCAGGAACTATTGCTGGACGTTACCTCCGCATCATGTGTAAGATTCAAACCCCAACAGCTTGTGGGTGCTGAGTTCTTTTGAAAAGCCGTGTGCACATTCTGTTCTGCCCACGCAGCACCTGATGGTTTCAGGCTTTTTAAGTGGGCAGGGAGGCCTGCACTTGACAGGGCTAGTTTCCTGCTTGTTATGGAATCACAAGGCTGGAGCTGACAAGCAGAGCAGAGGGACAGCACGATACCCATATGCTCAGGTCATGTGTGATCATCTATGATTGGAGTGTACTCAGCGTACAGGAATTGGGAAAAACAGAGAGGTTCTAAGCTGTCTGAGGTTACAAATAAACAGCATCTTAGGTCTGTTAATAATTTATCTAAGGAGCAATTGAAACAGAAGAGTTTTACTATAAATCTAACAATGTAGTCCTAAAACTACTTTATTTCTTATTATTATGTAATTTTAAATATTGTTAGGAAAACAACCAATCTGATCCTCTCTCAAGGTTCATAGATTCATACATTGTTAGGGGCTGGAAGGGACCTTGTAGATCATTGGGTCCAGTCCCCCTGCACTAGGCAGAAAAAGACAACTGGGGTCAAGTGACTCCAGCGAGGTGACTGTCCAGTCTCCTTTGGAAGATTTCCAGGGTAGGTGACTGCACCACAGCTAGAGGAAGTTTATTCCACAGTCTGGACACCCTGACTAGGAAGGAGTTTTTCCTGGAATTGAGCCTGAAGCAGCTTTCCAGGAGTTTGTATCCATTGCTCCTGGTCTTCCTCAGGGGTGCCCTGGTGAACAGCTGTTCACCGAGTTCTTTATCTACTCCCCTAATGCGTTTAACGGTAAGCCGCTATCAAGTCCCCTCTCCACCTTCTCTTCTGTAGACTGAAGAGGCCCAAGTCCCCCAGCATCTCCTTGTATGGCTTGTCTTGCAAGTCCCTGATCATACAGGTGGCTCTTCTTTGGACCCTCTCAAGTTTTTCCATGTTCATGTTGAAGTGCGGTGCCCAGAACTGGACGCAGTGCCAGCATTTTGTTTGCCCTGCTGGTCACAGCATTGCACTGCCAGCTCACATTCATACGTTGGTTGATCCTAGGTCCCTTTCAGCTGTGGTGCAAGTTAAATTGTCACCACCAAGCCTGTAGGTACATTGGGAATTGTTTTCCCCCAGATGGAGCACCTTACACTTCTGAGTGTTGAACTTCATCTGCGTCTGGTCCCCCCAGCTCTCCAGCCTGTCCAGGTCCGCCTGTATCTGCAACATATCTTCTGGCATGACTGTGCTCCCCCACATAACTTGGTGTGGTCCACAAACTTGGCCAGCAAGCTTTTCACACCCACATCCAAATCATTGATAAAGATGTTGAAAAGCACCGGTCCAAGCACAGACCCCAAAGGGACACCACTGGCCACTTCTCACCAGGACGACAGATCCATTCATGAGAACTCTCTGGGTCCTACCATGCAGCTGTTTTCCACCCACTGAACTGTTGAGTAGTTAAGTCCACAATCTTCCAATTTTTCCACAACTATATCATGGGATACTAGATCAAAAGGTGTCCAGAAGTCCTGTATAGTGTTCATACAAATACATCTTTATTTAAAATTTTAGCATTTAAAATGCTCCTACCATGAGCATAATTTTTAAAAAGCCATTGGATGCAATCATGTCACTTAATTCTGTAACACTGCAGTGATATCATAACTCTCAGTCAGGCACTTCAGTGCAAGCTCTGTATAAAGCCACCCAAACCACAGCACTGGGATGCTGGCTTGCAGTGCAGCAATTCAACCATCTGTTCCTTATAAAGTGTTCCATTTTCAGCAGAGGGAGGAAACCAGTTCAGACAATTTTTAGAAGAGATGTTGGCATTAGAATTTCTGTGATGTTTTCATTTATACATTACATATTGCTCTACTGCTGCCTGCTTTTGTTCTTTTTTCCTTTAAAGAATAAAGTGATTTCACTTCTTATTACAGTTTAGAAGAACAACTTCCAGGAGCAAGAGTGGGAGTGTTGAGGATTTGTGAAAGTGAACAGAAAAGTATACAAATCAAAGGGTAACTTTAAAAGGTGTTTTTGGAGTGGCACACTTCCTTGGAAGTCAAGAGCAGTGACCAGAATTGCGCATGTGTTCTCTCTCTCTCTCACATGCACACAGGCAGAAAAAATGAATTTGTTTTTAAGACTGGAGAAGGAAGGATTTGTAGGTTTGAAAGGGTCTGGGAGAAAGCAGCAGCACTGTCTTGAAGCTCTCCAAGTACTAAGCCCTTTTAAAATAAACAAAAAGTAATATAAATGCAGCATTCCTCAGCCACATTCAGACAACTTCTAAGTAGGTAACGACTGGCAGTGGGTGCATCTACATGAGACATTTACTGTGCAGTTCACTAACTAGCTCCACAGTAAATGTCTTAGCATCTACATGTGCAGGCCTATTAAGCTGCAGGAAACTAATCAACTCCACAGCAGGATAGAACTTATAAATACAAGTAACCTGTTGTGGAATGTTTTCATGCACAGCAACGCATGTGTAGGTACTGACCCGGCTGGCTGGGGCATGAGGGTGTTTCAATGCAGAAGTTGCCTGCCAGCTAGCCCCCGCACTGAAGCACCCTTTGTGCCCCAGCCAGATCCTCCGCAGCATGTAGAACCAGGCTGGAGCAGCCCCAATCTGGCAGGGTGACTCCCCTGGATCCACTGCCAGCTGCAGTCCTGGGCACGTGTGTAAATGCAGCACCTGGGAGCAAACACTGGGGTGGTATGTGCCGGCGTTTATTGCAATACATACATATGCACGTGTAGATGCACCCATTGACAACCAAACCATTCAGTCTGGCAGGAGACAAAGTAATTCAAGCAGAATCTCTCTTCACTGTGCATTATGGTCTCTCATGACACCTGCTAAAAGCCATGACAAATTCTGCTACACACCTTCCTTGCCTGGCCTTCACGGACAGGTATCCCGCTACAAATCTGACTGAAGAAATTCAAATCTGAGTCTTTTAGACCTGGTAAATACCAAAATAGACTGCAGCCTCTAGTCATCTAGATTGAATATATACTGGGTAACTGAAAAGCATAGTTCACTAACATAAGAGTGCAATGGGATTGTGACAGCAGGACAGAAGCAACAGAAACCATAAGCAAAAAAGAATGAGAACGCTGTAGTTGTCCCTGTCTCAGTAGCATAAAGATACAACTGGGCACCCAGGGCACAGGGGCAGCAGCAATTTCAGTCTGTCAGACTATCGCCAAGCTGCCAGCAGCAGCCACTTTATGTCCCCGCCCCAACCAGTTGGTGCCTCTTTTGCCTAGCCTGAGTTAAGCCATTGCTGCCTCACATGATTCTCGTGTCTTCAAGGGCAATGAAAGAGGTATGGTACCTGGAAACACTTGAGACTTCTTTCTCCTAACTGCTCTTGCGTATTTAATTTGGTAGAATGTGGGATAACAAGAAATGCTTTTGAGTCGTGCAAAGCAATGTAACCCAGCAAATCTCGTTCATTTCTGTTCCCCTTTAGTCGTGGCCCTTATGGACGGAACAATGGAACTTCATCCTACAAGACGGGAGGCAGCCTGCCCACTTCTCGTGAGAAGGACCTTTTGTCAATGCTGGGCAGAAATCAGTTGAGTCCTGTTAACATCCATCAGAATTGTGGGGCTTCCTCAGCCAGTAGCAGTAATTCAGGTTCATACAAAGGAAGTGACAGCAGTCCTGTTATGAGGCAAGTGCTCATTCTGTCAATGCAGTTGTAGTTCTGTTAATTTATCTTCCCTATCCCATACTGCATGACTCTTACCCAGATTACAGAACGAACCATTTTGTGCCCGTCTTGGATGCAGACTGTGATATTGGCCAAAGGGCAATTGAATCCAATGTCCTCCATCCTATTTTTATGTTACCATGAAGCTTTGTCACTTCAGCACCAGAAAACATATGGTTCTAGGAGCCTAGGGTCTATTTTAGTCAGACTTCATTTCCAAGCCAACAACTTTCAAGTGGCAGCATGTAGTTCATCACAGTTTGTCATTGTTTTGACTGTATAGTGATGTAACATGCAGACCATTAACTGAAGGAGAGCATGTGTGTAATTTTTAAACTCAGCATGCATTCATGCATGCATGCACGTGCACATACACAACCCTGTGGGACCCAAATAGCTTCCTCAATCACTCATAGGCTGTAGCCATCATGTGCATCTCTGTCAGTGACCATATGATAACCTTCTAGAAAACTCCACCCTATGAGATAGTGTCTATATATTTAGAAATCAGATATGTAATCTCTTATTATTGAGCCAAAATCAAGTAAAGAACAAAATTATTAATGTACCCACAAATTGGCAGATACTTAATTTACCAGATTACATGACTAATCCTACCATGAGCTACCCCCAAACTGAGTCAAGTGTAAACTCAACTTTGTCCTAGTCAGCATTTGGGCAGAATACTCCTTTTATTAAGAAGGAAGAGTTCCAAAATATTTTTTTAAATTTTTTTCAGACGATCACCAAGATACACATCTTGTGGTGAGAATCATGGCGTGAAGGCACCAAATCCCGAACAGTATTTGACTCCCCTGCAACAGAAAGAAGTTACAGTGAGACACCTAAAAACAAAACTGAAGGAATCAGAGAGCAAGCTTCAAGAAAGGTATACCTCCTTTCAGGAAAACACTTTTGGTCAAAAATGAGATATGTATATATCAGTATCTGTTAGATCAGGGGTGGGCGAAATGCGGCTCGAGGGCTGGATGGGGCCCACCAGGCCATTCTATCCAGCCTGTGGGGCCCCTAAAAAAATTTAGAAAATTATATATTAATCTGCCCTGGGCTGCCTGTCATGCGGCCCTTGATGACTTGCCGAAACTCAGTAAGCGGCCCTCTGTCCAAAATAATTGCCCGCTCCTGTGCTAAATGCTAGCCTCGAATAGAGTCTAACCCCCAGGGTCCCTTCTGACCCTAAAAATCTATGAAATCCATGAATCTAATGAAGTAGGTTGTAACCTATGAGAGTTCATGCTCCTCTGAACCAGTTAGTCTCCAAGGTGCCACCATGCCCTATCTTCTGCCTGACATTAGAGTAACACTGCTAACCACCTCTGTGTTCTCAACTTCAGCAATTTTTTTAGTCAGGAACTCAGAGCTTGGTACAAGCTGATGTAAGTTGTTTACTACTGCTGCAGGCTCCATAAGCTATTCATTCAATGAACATACACTATCCAGTTAAATTATGGAAAGGAGCCAGTGGTCTGCTTTCTGGAGTTGCTTTAAAAAAAAAAAATCAAAAGGACAAATGTATGAGTCATTGTGATATTGTTCCAATGTCTCTTACATGTGAAACCGTTTGTGCTAATGAATATGTAGCTGTACTTACAGAGGTTGTCAGCTTTGTGAGCGTTTCAGGCTAGTCTTTCTGCAATCATGTCCCAAGGAGAAGACTTCTAGTAGCACAAGAAGTTGCAGCAAAACAGCCAATTCTAAATTGCCTTTTAAACAAGCAAACAACATTTCATATTTTCCCATTGAACGAAAGTTCTTTTATGACACAGTGGGCCTGCCTGCATTTGTGTTTTCTGTGTGGCCGTTCCTATATATTTTCCATCAGGGCATTTGGTCCATTG